GTGAAAGATATTCAATTAGTACAATGTTTTAAAGTGAAAATCCTTAATTAATTAGTTGTTTTACAACATAATCCACCTTCACGTAATCTTTATCTACTTCGTTTGTGAAAGATATTCAATTAGTACAATGTTTTAAAGTGAAAATCCTTAATTAATTAGTTGTTTTACACCATAATCCACCTTCACGTAATCTTTATCTACTTCGTTTGTGAAAGATATTCAATTAGTACAATGTTTTAAAGTGAAAATCCTTAATTAATTAGTTGTTTTACACCATAATCCATCTTCACGTAATATTTAGCTACTTCACGTGGACTGATTGTATATTTTAATCTTTAACTAAGTGACGTATTCATGACAAAGTTGAACAAATTATATCTATTAATCTTTTACCATTCAAAGTGATAAGACGCCAAGTTTCCCGATTAGATACGTTATAGAAAAATTATATTGACTGTAGCGCATAAAACAATGGAATGTGAAGTGTTCATTTAACCAGTATGTTCGTTTTATGCAGGAAAATAAAACAGAGAGAGAGAGAGAGAGAAAAACACTAAGCCTAATATAGAAAAGCATGATTTCTACCTTTCACTATGGTGGATAGGTAACGTTTTGAAACTATTTGAAGGCCTTGACCCTGGACATAAAAATAGTGTGGGTCCAGTGGAGGGACACTGCTGACTCCTGATGTTGAAGGAGGTCCCCGATCAGTGGGCGCTTGAGAACCGGGGAATTTATCCATGTGGGGGCTGAACGAAAGACCTTACCTAAGAACGATATCGCACTGGTAGAACGAGAAACACGCCAAAGTTTTGACGATCGGTATATATATATATTAAACAACAAACACTTTTTGACTTGTTTGTATGTTTGTCGCTGTAACCGACTAAGTTCGTGTATCGTGATACACATATACACGGACTCAGAGAAACACGCGCGCACGCTCCCACATAGATGCCCACGCGCACGGTTTTCAAAGAGGACTAGTAAGATTAGCGTTCCTTCGCCTCTTGTATGTAAGAGGGGGGAGGATGAGCGCTAAACATTCCCGTTCACGTGAATAACGCGAGAGCCCCATTATCTACTGCTTATGATTGCCATCAAAGTTTATAATAAAATACGATTTCTTGAGTGAGTAAAAAAAACACTTGTGCAATTTAAGTTTATATAATCCACATGCGATATGGTGCTCATAGGGTTTTCAAACGAAATTAATTTGATTGCTACATTTTAAAGAAACAACCCGTCTCTCAGTATCGGAATAATAAATAATTTTCTTTTGTAAACTGAAAAGCAATCTTAATAAATTTAATGAACGTAATGATCATGTTATTACATATATGTGTGTATATGAATTTCGTATTATGGCCGTCGTGATTGACTGTTACACTTATAACGCATCCAGAGCTTAAGGTGCGGGGAATAATGAAAAGTGTCCCTAACACCCTGAACTCTTCGAAACATTAGCATTTTATTAACAAAACAATAGGGAACGCTTAATAGCCGCGGCTGTATTTAAATCTCAAATCGGTCAAGAGATGGAGCTATGAGCTAAAATTTTGTATTTGAAAAAAAAAGACTCGGAGCGTTTCTATGAGTCGCTATAGAGCGGCTAAAATGGATTAATACTTAATACTACATACATAGTTCAAAGTGATATTCAGAACACAATATCATTAGGAGTTCTGTAGAAATCCTCGACAAAATTAGTTGTTTCTATGGTGACCAGATCTATACTCAGGTTTTGGCCTGTCCACATAAACACGTAAATTGATTTTCCTGATGAAGCAGCTCTGTAAGGGATATATCTATTTTCTTAACTATATATATATATACAATAGCCAACTGTATGTGATTGCCATAGGGACAAAACGTCTTTCTCGTAAGATCTCGAAGTAACGCTATTTCACTCTTTATTCACACACGACGAGGCTCCCATTGCTCGCGTCGGCGTGTGTGCTTTCAAGTGCCTGGCTGAAGAAAACTATTGAACCCAAGAGAGAGAGAAGAAAATCTATCGAGACAAAAAGGGTCGTAAGACTCTTCTGGATAATGGTCACTATAAAGGTCATTAAAAGTAAAGGCCATACTTCGAGAACCACGCGGGAACAGTTTGACCTGCATGTCACAACACTCGTTACAGCTCATTTTTCCGCCTAACTATGCTGTTCAGCAGAAAATGCCGTTCTAAAGGGGGCGCTATCAGCTATACAAAATTGCTAACAGCGAGAATCATGACAGTTATTTGCCATAGATTTTATATTTCACGTCTTATATGGTTCTTTTATGACCACGCGTTTCCACCGCTCTACACGTGTTTTGAACCAAATATCAAATAACGTTTCGAGACGCTTTTTCTTTCTTTCTTTAAAGTTAAAAAGGTCGATTAGAAATAGCAATATTCCGCATATTGTGATATTTCATCCAACATTACAAGACAACTGTTTTTTTTTTAATTATTTCGCGCAAAGCTACGCGAGGGCTATCAGCGCTATTCGCCCCTAATTTAGCAGTGAAAGACTAGAAGGAAGGCAGCTAGTCATCACCACCTACCAATAACTCTGGGGCTACTCTTTTACCAACGAATAGTGGGATTGACCGTCACTTTATAACTCGAGCATGTTTGGTGGGACGGAGATTCAAACCCGCGACCCTCAGATTGCGAGTCAAGCGCCCTAACCACCTGGCCATGCCGGGCCTACAAGACAACTAAGTAGGTAACGTGCTCTGATCGAAAGTTAATAATTAATCATTATGACAACTAATATTATAAAAAAAAAGTATATTGTTTAGCTCACTGTTTAAAATACTGTCATGAAAGGGGTTTTTAAATGTCGGCAAAATAAAGCTACTTGTGAAACAAAATGATCACAGAAAAAAAAATTCACGATTTCAATACTTTAAGATATAAAACTTTCTCATCTTACAGTTTTTATAAATATTTTTAAAGGAACAGTTTTGTGTAATATTTTGTTATCTTGATAAATCATTTTATTCTTTTTTTTTTTAACGAGATCTGCAGCTCTTAACATCAGAAAAATGGTGCTTCACAAAAGAAAAGAAAATGTGATGGAGGAATTACTTATATGTAATAATGATTTAAGAATTAGAAGTCGTACTTTGGTAACGATTGGCCCCACTAAAGACGAGTCTCTTGTGTCAAGACTAGCTGCCTTCCCTATATTCTTACACTGCTAAATTAGGGACGGCCAGCGCAGATAGCCCTCGTGTAGCTTTGCAATTCAAAAAACAGACAAACCAACCTATTTGTGTATATTGGAAATTCTAAATGATCTCTAGGCTTCCGCTTTGACGGCCTTTATTTCGATAGGAACACAAGATCAAACATACATTTTAGAAAACAGTAATATCCATTTGATTTTGAGGTCACGGTGTATGTCAAGTTATTATTCTCCTTTCATTCAGACAAACCATAACGAAATAATATAGTTCTATCCAGAAAGATTATCGTACGAGAAGGAAGAGTATTCAGTAACGAATCACGAACTATTATAGAAAGTTGTTCTGACAGAGTAAATATAACATTTACAAATAACTTGCTCCGTTAAAAACGGCAGGTTTTAATAGAAATAATTTAGTTTTTTATGAAATATCCCTGACTTTCAAACTGCTCCAGCAATGAGCTAAGCCTTGTTCATGATTGGTTGTCACACTGTAGGGGCACATGTGATACTTAAATGATTGGATTAACTAGATACATTCTTGTATGTTGTAATAATTATGGGTAAGCTAAAGTGGAGTGACAAAGTACGAATTCTCGAAAACTCCTGTGAGGGTGGGGGTGACTTTGAAGGCCAACGTACCAGATCCCTATCAGAATGGAGTGGCTTGAAGGAACCAGACACCAGTTTCCGTAACTTCTTGTTAGGGAGCAGCGAGACGGAGGGATAATGCACCAGTTCCCAGAAAATCCTCTCAGGATGCCAGTTCCCAGAAGCTCTTGTCAGGGAGCAGTAGGTTGGAGGGATATTAAGATACCAGTTCCCCAAAACTCCTATAAGGACGGGTTGACGTGGAAAGCCAATGTACCAGTTCCCAGAGACTCCTATTAGGATGGGGTGAGTAAGAAGGCCCAAATACCACTTCCCAGAAGCACATGTCAGGGAGCAGTGAGTTGGAAAGATAAGATACCCCATTTCCAGAAACTCCTGTAAAGATGGGATGGCTTAGGGGGGTCTGGATACTACTTCCCAGGAAGTCTTCTAAGGGAACAGTGAGATGGGGGGATAAGATACCAGTTCCAAGAAACTCCTATCAGGATGGAGTGAGTTGGAGAGCCCAGATACCACTTCCAAGAAACTCCTATCAGGATGGAGTGAGTTGGAGAGCCCAGATACCACTTCCAAGAAACTCCTATCAGGATGGAGTGAGTTGGAGAGCCCAGATACCACTTCCAAGAAACTCCTATCAAATTTATAATTGGTTCACTTCCAGTTTTCTCTACTGATGTCCTCCGGTGGGACAGATGTAAGTCTATAGAACGCTAAAATACGGGGTTCGATTCCACTCGGTTGACACAGCAGATAGCCCAATGTAGCTTTGCTCTAAAAATAACCAACTCTCTACTGACATGTCAGTGACAGTAATTTGTCAAACACGTCGTTTACGAGAAGTATTTCTGAGGGTTAAAAACTTTTCCTTAACTTCATATTATTTACACCTTTTGTACTAATTTGTTTATCTTACGTAAACTTTGTCTCATTTGATTCTAACACTATTTTTACATTTTCGGTAAAAATATAAAATAATTTTTTATGCTACAGATTGTCATCAAATGTTATTATAAATAAAACAGTGTATTTTTTAATTCTTAAAGCTAGGCCTAAATAGGTTTCTTAAGCATTTGTTTTCTAAAAGGTTTCTAAAATGTAAACAAACAACTGACACTGTACAGCGTCAAATGCAATTCAATGGTATTTTCAATGTCTCTGGGCTGAACGGACAGCACCCGCCACCTCGCGGTTACTTTTCAAACATAGACATAATAATTTACAATCTTTCAGCAGGATCCGATGCAGTTATTCTTAATCTAATAGCGGTGTTGACTGTTAGTTATCATGTATTTTAAACTGGAACAATGCTAACATGTAAAGCAATATATCGCGACTTGAACCTAATCATAAGGTGAGAAATAGGAGACACTTCGCCATATAAAAAAATCGCGACTTGAACCTAATCATAAGGCTGAGAGATAGGAAACACTTCACCATATAAAAAATCGCGACTTGAACCTAATCATAAGGCTGAGAGATATGAGACACTTCGCCATATAAAAAAATCGCGACTTGAACCTAATCATAAGGCTGAGAGCTAGAAGACACTTCACCATATAAAGAAATCGCGACTTGAACCTAATCATAAGGCTGAGAGATAGGAGACACTTCACCATATTAAAAATCGCGACTTGAACCTAATCATAAGGCTGAGAGATAGGGGACACTTCATGATATAAAAAAATCGCGACTTGAACCTAATCATAAGGCTGAGAGATAGGAGACACTTCACCATATAAAAAAAATCAATAAACATTTCAAAAAACTTTCCCACTATATATATAGATACTAACTGTAGTACCCGTCCCCGGGACAGAAATTATGTAAACTCATGATTAATGAAAGGTTATCTTAGGACATGAAAAGTTGCTTCCCTTATAAGTAATTGAAAAAAAAAAACGCAAAATGCCCATAAAAACTGCAAAACACAAAATGTGAGACCGTAAATTAGCATGTATCTCCGCATGGACCCATCAAACCTTCATGTCAAATTTGGTGAAGGTCCACCAACAGGGGACGAAACAGTAGTAAAAAACGCCCGCAAAAATGCAAAACCGAAAATTTGTGTGAACCCCGCATGGTCCTAATGAATATCTA